TGAGCCAACATTTTGGTTGCTAAGCAAGACGTTGTTAAGTGAGTTTCACCACATTTTACAAGTTGGCCATGCCTACCCAGTCACATGACTGCCAAGCCACTCCCACTCAGTCACATGGCTGGCAAGCCACTCCCACAAAGCAGGCGACACCTACAGAAGAGGTTCTAAAAAATTTTGAAACCCACCACTGGAGCCACTGCAACTCAAAAGTAGTGGTCTTAAATGAGCCTACCAAGGAGATGATGTTATATGAGTTTAGCGCACCTGCATTCTAAACCAGCTGCAGTTTTTGAATGACTTTCAAAAGTAGCCCCATGTAGAGGGACAGTATATATTTTGAATGCTCCCCATTCATGGTAATAGTGTTATACCTTTATTGCCAGTTTTGATGTTCTCTGTATTTCTTTGCCTTTATTATTGGCTCTTGCTAGAAGTGTTATGGATAGGAAAAACATAACAAGATTATGAAGATGGTAACAATAATGATGTAATGCAGTCTGTCTTTATTACTAGATGCTTATTTATCTGTGTTCTTCTCATTTTAGTTCTTGAGGAAGTTGATCCACAAAAAGTACATATTTTGGGAGGGCTGGTGGATGAAAGCATTCAAAAAGTAAGTATATTGAACAAATGATATTCTTACAGAAATAGCTGGGTAGTATTTCAATGATGAACTGCAGGAACTTATCTCTTCCCAAATATAATTTTCCTGTGAACAGTTAGCTAACATAATTAAAATAGAGCTTCTGGGTTTGGAGAATAGGCATCACGAGCTTTTTAAAGAATCTAATAGCCAGATGTAGTTCTTTTTTTAAAAAAAACTGGCATAAAGAATCATTTCTTCCCTTCCTCCTTTAGTATATATAATTTGTTTTTGTAGAAACTCACTTTCCAAATTGCCCAGGAAAGACATCTGCAGACAGCACGATTGCCTATTCCAGAGTACATGGTAAAAAACACCAATGCAAAAAATTACCACTCAACAACTTTGGCAATCAACCAAGGTAAGCAATGTACACACTTGTCAATAGAATTCACTGCCATCTATTTGCAGGCATAGTATTACCACCAGCTTTCCTATACAGTTTATGGCTGGAATTAGAATAGCTGTTGCAAATTAACTCCCGATAACTTGTATGGATGGTGTTGGTCCATTTTTTAGAAAATTAAATCTTTCTGACAATGGTTGCATAGTTGATTTGTGCACACTGGAGTTTTGTACTCAGTTCTCTACAGAATTGATCTTCACTTTTGTTTATTGTACTTTTTAGGGCACAAAATGCCATATCACATGATGAACTGTTCAAGAACTTGCTCCTATGTTAGGACATAGTCCTAACACAGGGGAAGCGGTCCTATGAAATATGGGCAAATAGGCATTAAACAGTAGAGGTCTACCATGAGTAAAGTAGGAAAGCCTTGAATGTAAAGGGTCATGTTGTATTAAAGACCACAAATCTTGGATACTCCTTATTAACATGTTTGAATTATTGTTGGAAAATAAGAGTCTAAAAATACAGAAGATGGGCATGGTTTCTATAGAAGCTCTGTTATACCATGATTGGATTCAATCCTCCTTGTAATTTTCATGACATTTTTTTGTAATTTTCTAATGTATTTCTTTTAGTGTTTGATGCCTTATCAACTTTCTATGATAAAAAGAGTTGGGAAGAAGCACTTAAAGCTGCAGTTTCTCCTGGAAAGGGATACATCTTCAAAAACACACAGTGACAAAAGGGTTCTGGATACAAATATGAGAAAACAAGATTTGGTCTGCCTTTGGTAACCTACAATAGTCTCCTTTACCCAATTGCATTCTAGATATTTTGGACTACGATGATTAAAATTTCCAAATTATGGGAGTTTTGACTCCAGCACTACTGTACATAGACATGTGGGGAGAGTAAAAGATTACTTAATTGATCCTCATTTCTGCTTACTGTACTTCTTGGGGAAAAGACTGGGTCTCTCATTGCTTATTCTTGATGAATCTATTGGAAGGGTTAAAGTATTGTTTGTTTTACATTACAATTAACTGCACTTATTACTGATATGTACTTTAAAAAAAACACATGACATTGTGCTGGGAATTTTTGCTGAAAACAATGAGTCTTTCATAATGAAATGAATGGGTAGCTTTTCCTGCACTCATAGGCAAAAGACCTGAGGTTATGTCAATTAAATTTTTAAAGTAAATGCTCTAATTTCAGATTAAATCTCCTTGCCACTATTATTTACCCTTCCAAGCATAGCAAAGTCGACCAATTGAGTTATTAGGAGTGTTCTAAAATTAAGGATAGGAGTATTATAAAATGCTCTGCAGTGCTAGTCTGCATAGAAGCAAGGCCACTATGGTAGAGCTTACTTCCTGCTAATTAACTAGGTCTTTATTTATTAGGTATAATAAAGAGATGCATCACTTCCATTTTTAGTGAGTACAAAAATTCAGTAATTGGGTGAAAATACTGTTCAAAAGTTGTCTTTTCTTTTAAAGGGGAGCATAGCATCTCTTTAAAATCGAAAGTAAAAGCAATGAAGTGAAGAAGTTGCTACCACTTGTAATAGGCTGTGAAAACAATCCTGTGAAACAGGAGGCAGGGCCATGGTAGGCCATCAGCTCTTCTTCCCGTTTTCCAAGGTTATTCTCGCAGCTCATTATACCACTGTACTGCCTATGACGCTTCACTGCCTGTGACCCTTGGCATGCCAGACAGTTTGGGTTGAAAGAGTGAGTGGCCCAAAGTTTCCAAGTGAACTTCCATGGCTTAGGTAAACAGGAATCTGTTTACCTTCTTTGGTGTTAGTCCAGCATCTTATCAATTACACATCACTGGGTCTTTTTAAAAAAATGTATCTTTGAAACATACTCCAGGTGCATTTATTTAAAACACCTGAAAGAAGAGTCCCACACAAGACAGGTACCTATGGTACGGTTTCTTTAACCTTGATCAACATTTCCACAACTTGGTACACGCTAACATGGTAGGATAATATGTTCAGAAGATCTGTCCAGTTTACGTACAGCATTCTCTTTGAGCTATTCTTAAGTAGCATTTATTCACAGCAGTTAACATTGAAAAGACCTTCAGAAAAGATTGATCTTGTGTCTTCTTCACTTAAAGGGAGGGGGGGGGAGTAAAATTGGATGTGAATTAACATACTGTCTTTGACTTTTATGAGAAATGACTTATTCCTTTGACTTCATTCAAGCTTTGAGTATTAATATCCATTGACAAATGAAACCAAACAATTGCCTCAGTTTTCCTTCAAGCCATTCTTTTACACATCCCCTGCTTTTATTAGAATCTCCCAGGGTTATACATTTATCAGGCCAACTCAGAAGGTCACAAAAAAATGCAAGTTTTCAAAATAGCTAATTCTCTTTATAATGAATTTAACAATAGCTGTAGTGTTAGTGCAAAGAAAGGAGAAGCAGGAAGAGACAGCTTAGCAAATCCATCTCATGTGCAGGATGAAGCTTTGAACTGCTGTGTAAGGCAGAAAAGGGAAGCAGTGAGGGCTGTATATTGACACACACAAAGTTTTAAGCTTAGACTGGAGTAATCCTTCTCATGAGTTTGCCTACATGCTTCCAAAAACTGTTGATAGCTACATAAAACATCCCGCAGGTTGATTTTAAGGTCTATGTGCCCACTACTGCAAAAGTCACAGTCTGTGAACTGTAGGCATACTTCCGTCAACTGGAGAAGGTTTTGGAAGGTCTTTTGAACTATGACTGGTGTCTCGGGAGAAGGCCCTTGTGCTTCGATAATCTTCTGGCAATTAACTAACAATCTCTGTGATTCCACATACAAGGCATTCTTGTTTTCTGAAAAAAAGGCAGCACATTGTTCCACTGGATGTTTTCTTTGGTTTCCTGAAGACCGCCTTAAAATTTCCTTTAGCTCTACTACATCTCCTAACAAATGGCAGAAGTCAAGTGGCGAGATAGACCATTTTTCTTTCATATAGCTCAGTTCTTTGATAGGCAATTCTGGGAGGTATCTGTGATTCTGAGAATCTCTGGGGGTCCCGTTCATATAAATATGTTCTTGGTGGTGCCTGGTGGGATTAAAATCTGAAGGCAGTGGGTTTCTTGTTGAAGGTGGAGTTGTTAAGGGTCCTTCAGAAATGCTACTTGCGAAAGGTTTGGTGCTGTCTAATTCTGCTTCATTGTCTACCCCATGGAAACAGCTTGCATAAGACAACTGGCAGCTGCATCTCTCCAGTTTATGTCTGGGTATAAATGTTTCCTCAGAATTCACTAAACCTGGTGGACCTGTGTCACTGAAAGCCACTGCACCTTCAGTGGCATTGTCAGAAGAGAGAAAGGATAGATCTGAAGTACAGTTTTTCCCACTGGGCCTGGCTGCTTTAGACGAAATGTCAAATGAAGGGTAGCCCTGTTCAGCTGAATTATCAGTTTTGCTTTGTTCTGTGTTCTCCTCTGAGGAAACCATTAGTGAACTGGATCTCTTATTATCATCTTTCAGGAGAGCATTTCCTGTGAGGTTTCCCCCCCTTGTTTTAAAGTCACCAGCAATGTCTGTAGATTGGCACAGATTATGAGACATACTCACAGCTGATAAGTGGGCTGGGACTTGATTTATAATGCCATCTTTTAAAGCTAAATTATTAACGCCTAGGCCATTTCGGCTAGTAATTCCTTGGCACTCATGATCTGATTGCTGACAGCTTTTTGCATTTTCTGCTGCTGAACTGAAATTTGGCCAGCAAATTTGGCCTGATGTATCACTGCAGTTGAAAAATAGTTGAGTTACATTTGAAATCCCCAGATGTTTTTCATCTCCTGATTTCTGTGCAGCACCCTTTTTTGACAATTGGCTGATACCTTCTTCAAGCTTTAAGTCTCCATGGGCCTGGCCGGAATCACACAAGATGGAGTCACCTTTGGCTCTCTTGCAGGGATCTAACATAACCCATTCCTGTTTCTTAGCTTTCTCTGCAGGGAGAGAATCCAGGTCCAAGATTGGGGCGAAAGACGAAGGTTTGCCTTGGGTGCTGTTCTGAGACCCAGAAGGCTTGGTAGTAGTGTGTATTATTTCTTCAATCAATACATAACTGACTCCTGTTGGAGGCGTAGCTTTGATTGTCCTCACTTTTTTGTCAAGTCCTTGCTTTACAGAACACTCTGCTTTTACTTCACAATGTCCCCGAACTTGCTTAGCTATTTCTGTAAGCTTTTCTGTTTTTATTTCACAAGTGGGATCAAGACCTTCCGGGTGAAAATTAATTTCTGGTGTACTTAAATGTGGACTGTGATGAGGGGGCATATAAAAAGAATTTAAAGAGCAATCGCTTGAGTCTAAACTTCCTCCACTTGCCTGCGCAGAGGCCAGGCACAAAACTGAATTGAGTACTGATGAATTCTGCCTCATTTCTGTTGAATCAGATGAAGAGGTTGAATTTTGGACCACCTGGGTTTTCTGTGTGACTTCAAGAAGATTGGGAATTTGCTGGGGTTCCTTCCATAAAGACTCAGCTGCGGGGTTTGAAACTCCTGAAATGGTAGTGTCTTTATTGCAACAAACACTGGTTTCCAGCGCTTCAGGTGAAGTGCTGGGGAAACTAACTTGGGAAGTATAATTTGTCTCGAGGAAGGACCTTCTTTTCCTCAAATTATTGGCACACGTTGGGTCTTTTCCTAGCTTGGATTTCATCCTTCTACTTTGCCTTGACAGGATGTTTTCATCCAAACTGCCACAAGATGGCAACTCTTGGGAACGGTGTAGGGGCAAAATTTCAGAACCTAAAAAATAAAGAAGAGGCCATAAATATGGAGAATCCCTTTTTTGTCATATTTCAAAAGATTTATGTTGCTGTTGCTATGTGTGAGTTGTCTAAAGGTCTATTCGATTTCTTTCTTTCTACAAGCTAATAAACTAGGGAAATGTCAGGTGTTATCTAATGTCCTGCCTCTCTCACCCTGTCACTGAAAAGTAATCTATTGGAACCAGCTCAAAAGCATCACCACTGCAAACAGAGTTGGAGACATACTTACCCATCATCCTCTTCCATCCACTTTTGTATCTTTTTATGGCACAAAGGGATGAAAAGTTGAGAGAGACTACAGAAATTCTGCTATCACAGGGTAGTAGTTAGTAGTAGTAGTAAATTTCTAGTTTTGTTTTTTTACTACATTAAAATGTTCTCACACAATCATTCCGCCACCTATAGTTGCATGAACACAAATAGTTAAGTATCGCCACAATTTATTTTCATATATTGGTTCTTTTAGCAACTAAAAGAAAAATAGATCAGAGAAAATATAATCATATGAAACCCTGAATTGGATTTTTTTTTGCAATAGGTCTTGTGGAATAGCCGTTAACTCTCAGCCTTAGGCACCTAGGTGTAAATGGAAACAAAATACTGGGCAGATATAAGAAGTAATATTTTGAACACAAAAGGAAAAGCTAATAACTGCTAGTAAGCTGCTCAATCAGCTTTAATTATTTTAAGGACCTCATATTGATACTATAGCCATCTACCCCCTTCCTCTCACCAGGTGTGAGAATGTGAGATCCCATGAGTAACGGTGTAAAATATGAAAGAGACCAACAAGGATTGCCAAGCTAGCAGTCAAAATAACATTCCTATTTAAAAGACCTTGGGCGGTTCATACCACAACAAAGATACTCCAGGGATTATCTTTTAACTCACCTGCTTGTGGCTCAGCTGGGCTCATCCTTTTGCTTCCATCACAGATGTTATCATCTGAATTAGTCTTTTCAAAGCCAGGGGGAGATCTCAAGACAAAGACAGGAGCCTGGCCCTCGCTGATTTTCTCATGGTCTTCAGGCTCCTGCAAAGAGCAGCTTTCAGGACTGTTGCTCTGGGTATGCTTCCCTCCACTGCTGGCTGGTGAGAGATTGGCACAGAGGCTGTAGTAGTCCATGGCGTTGCTTTTGGCCAACTTGGACTCTAGAATGCTCACACCATTTTCTCTTTTGGATTCCTCTTCTGATTGTGGAAGAACCGGACTGGATACCAGGGATGGCAGGAGGAAAGAAAAAAAACTTTCTTGTGATGTTCTGCTTTCCTCATCTCCATCCGCACTAAAAAGCATCTTGTCATTATTGGCCAGTTTCTGAAGGGCAGAGTTACAAAACTGAAAAATCTCCGGCCTGCTTGCTGAGCACGCTTCTAAATCATCTTCTTCCAAGGCATCCAGAGAGTCACTTGAGCCACTGGACTTTGGCCCCCTGCTTTCTGTGTTGGCTGAATCAGAGGCTTCTGAAAGGCTATCGCTTATGTTGTACCCATTGCAAAAGCTCATTTCTTTGGCCTCCAAGGTCTTCCTTTCTTGCTCCAGCTCTTGCTGCTCTCCTTCCTCCTCAATTGGGGGACTAATACTGCTGTACTTAGGTGAATGTGTGTCTGAGAACCGATCCAAGGAGGAATCTAGCTCAGAAGATTCTTCAGAGTCACTGCAGGTTCTAGATTCATATCCTGAAAACACATACAGACAATTTCCTTGGAGTTGTTTCCTTCCTTCCAAGCAACCTTAGAACACAGATGAAATAAAACCTCCCTGAAAAGATCCTTAAAGTGACTGTACAGCTAAGTGCAAAAAAGGATTCCTCTGTACATATCCAGAATACTGTTCTCAGAAGCAGCCAAAGGATAACAGGGACTGTCTTAAGTGACGTTTTTGAATGCCTGTCTCCGTATGTGGAGACTTTGGGGATCTGGATGGGGGAAAGTAGGTTCAGGTTCAACTATAGGAAGCCTGATCATTTTAATTGTATGCAAAATTATGTGCCTTGAATGGTAACTGGTGTTGGTTCGTGCACCTGAAATTAGATGAATTCATGTTCAAATGTGACAGAAACATCTTCCACATGCTTTCATCTCAATGACCATTTCAAATGGTGCTTCTAAGAACCCTTTTGCTTTTGCCCACACAAATGAAGGGGGCAATAAAGCTGTATAGAGAAGCATACACAACACACTGAGACATTAGTGTACTAAAGATATGCACGTATTTCTAGCAAGAGGTGTGCTTTTGAGTTTGGAACAGTCCTCTCACCCCTTTACTTATTTATGAAAAAACTTGCTTTTTACCTTCCTCAGCAGAGATCCGGTGCATTTGAGGTTTTCTCTCCTCCCAGATGAATATGGAGCTGCTTGAATCTACAAACATTCTGTAGTAACCACTGATGAGACAAGCCAGATCTTTGGCACTGTTGGACTCCAGCAGTACAGTGAGCACCTTGTATAGAAGACGGGAAACATGATGAGCTGAAATGTTCCTGACAGAGTTAATGCATCAGAAGTGATATGAAATATATTTACCTTGATATCTTGGAGGTAGATCTTCACCATGCTTACTTTGTCAGATTCTTTAGAGAGCTCCACTCTGCTTATGTTAGCAAATTCCGCCAGCAAGGTTACGATGTTGAGTTTGCTATTAACCACTTGACTGATTCCATATTTGGCTCCCACCAGCAAGGCAATGCATGTCTCTCTGTCCTGTAGCTTCATGGGGGGAAAGCAGCTTATGACCAAACTTAGAAAGGAACAAACTCACGCCTATGTGTTCAGTGGCTACTACAATATCTATACAGTATAATTTGGACATGTAAAGAAACACACACAGGTGAACTAACACAATTTGAACTTTCATATCATTATGTTTAAATACACTCTAGTCTCAAGTAGACATTTCTGATCTGTTCAGAAGTTATTTTAATAATATTCTGTATTAGCTAACAGTTAACCTTTTCTCATATTCGTGCTTCTGCTGACAAGAAATGAGACATCCAGCAAAGAATTGGAGCCTAAAGAGAAATCTCTCCCTCCATTCCTCTCTCTCAAATAGTGGCTTACATTTGTGCTGTCTAAACAATGGTTTAGAAATGTTTAGCATGTGTGAAATTAATTGTCATTAATTCAGAAATATGTAGTTAAACAACAGCTTATGCTTTATGAATGCAGCCAAAAGTTTACAAAAGCATTACAAAAACCTAAATGGGAATTGAACAGCTCACTTTAACACAATTCAATGTTTTATAAAAGTTACTGGCCATCATTTGTGCTGTACTGTAGTGAGGAAAGCAGGAAATTACTCAGTTATTTCATTTATTAACTCCAGCACTGGGTGATGGTAGAAGATCTGTTTTTTCTATATTACTGATCAATTGAGGAAATTACTATTTCCACATAATTGTTTCTGAGTGAACATTTTTGGATCATCATAGCTCATTTTAACAGACATGATCAAGCTGTAGGCCCCTCACAATTTATGCCTGAGAAATGCTCACAGCTTTTAAGATGACTGGCCAACCAGTTAATTGGCAGGAGGCTGGTACTGGGAAGAAATGGGTGGAAGAGAACAGTGGCTTCATCTCAAGGTCTCCGATGGTAGGCCTTTCTGGACTGATCTTATGTGTTATCTATACAAAGACACACTAATGGGGTAGAGAGTTGAATCCAGAGACTCAAAATATAGGCACTCAACCATTTACCAACAAACACTCAGCAACCTGTTTGTCATCTGACTCTATATGTAGCATCAGGCCCCTTTCTGAATGGTCATGAAGAAATGATTATGATGTAAAGATGTAGAGTCTATTTATTTCTTCGTCAACCAAAAGAGAAATAGTGTCATACATGGACTTCAGGACAAACAGGTTACTGGTTATTTCAAGGTCAGAATCAGAAAAGTCTTGGCTTGACATTTCTAATGTCGATATTGAATTTCAGAACTCTTAAAATATTCTTTAAACATTAAACATTAACAGCAAAAAGTATTTTTGAAACTTGCTACGTCCATGAACAATTGTTTCACCTTGGGAGATACTCTCGCAAGGCTAAATAAAGTCTGCTCTGTCCTCATCTCTCTAGTTGCCAGCACAATTTGAAGTGTTAACAGTTGAAAACTGTTCTTGGTTTACAATCTTTACATCTACACGACCACTTCGTCCCATTACTAGCAGCTATGCAGTAAGAATTAACAACCTTCATTTTTTATTGGCATAAAATATGAAACATCTACATGGGTACTATTTTATTTTCAACTTGCCTTGCCTCCATGAATTCAAGATGGCCCTCCCCCTCCTATTGTAAACTCACAAGATCTCTGTCAGCCAGGAAAGTAAGAGAGATACTTCAAGTAATAGCTGAACAATAGCATTACTAAGAGAGATAGCTCTCTGCTCTTGCTTCAATTCATTAATTACTATGCCATCCTTTGTTTCAGAAATGGGCCACTCCTTCTTTCTTTCTTTAATGGTATCTGTACACCACATTGGAAGCAGGGAACATCTTCTAATGTGATTGATGATTTAACACTGCCACACCCTAGGTCAGGGGTCCTCAAACTTTTTAAACAGGGATTCAATTCATGGTCCCTCAGACTGTTGGGGGACCAGACCGACTAGGTGGGTGTGGCTAGGTGGGCATGAGACTAGGTGGTGCGTGACTAGGCCGACCTAGTCACATGACAATGTAACAATCCATTGAACAATGCACACAAATTAAACTTTAATTTGTTTTGCTCCTGGGGATGTTTTATTTGCTCTTGTTTGCATGTTGTTCCTTTGGTTGCCTTTTCTTTTTACTAAATCATTTTTTCAGTTGTTTAGGAGTCT